ACAAGGCCCCTAGAAGGTCTCAAAGAGTCAGGAGATCAGTCATTCTTGATGACTACGAAGTCTATAAATGTGAAGAATTTCAAATGAAGGGTGATCTCACCTCATTTGAAGAAGCCATAAGAAGTGCTCACTCATCAAAGTGGCTTGAAGCCATGCAAGATGAAATGAAATCAATGAATATCAACGGTGTTTGGGACTTAGAAATAATTTCTAAATGAGCCAAGACAGTAGGCTTGTAAATAGGTCTACAAAACTAAATATGACTCCAAAGAAAACGTAGAAAGATTTAAAGCGCGACTTGTGGCGAAAGGCTTCACGCAAAGAGAAGGCATATATTACAATGAGATATTTTCACCAGTCTCATGTAAGAATTCTTTTAAATTATAATGACGCTTGTAGCACATTATGATTTAGAATTACATCATATGGATGTAAAGACGGTGTTCCTAAACGGGGATTTGGAGAAAAATATTTACGTGGCACAACCGAAAGGTTTTATTGTGGAAGAAAAAGAACGCATGGGATGTCGTCTGAAGAAATCCATTTATAGATTAAAACAATCATCAAGACAGTGGTATTTAAAATTTAATAGTACAATAAGAAAGTTTGGGTTTTAAGAAAATATAGAGGACAATTGCATTTATGCAAAGTTCAAGAATAGAAAATACATTTTCCTAATCTTGTATGTGGATGACATCTTACTTGCTAGTAGTGATGTTAATCTACTACTAAAATCAAGAAGTTCTTATCCTCGAAGTTTGATATGAAGGATCTCGGTGAAGCTTCATTCATTTTAGGAATAGAGATTCACCAAGATAGAGAAAATGGGGTTTTAGGACTATCACAAAAGGCATACTTAGAAAAGGTTCTAAAGAAATACAGTATGTAAAATTGTAAGCCTTCACCTGCTTCCATAGTTAAGGGCGATAGTTTTGGGAAATTTCAATGTCCCAGGAACCAATATCAGATCGATCAAATGAAAGCGGTTCCATATGCTTCAGCTATCGAAAGTTTACAGTATGCTCAAGTGTGTACACGCCCTAACTTAGCATTTGTTATCGGGTTACTTGGCAGATATCAGAGTAATCTAGAAATAAAACACTGGAGACTAGTAAATAAAGTTTTGCGTTACTTGCAAGGCACAAAATGTCTCATGCTAACATACAGAAGATCTGATTTCCTACACATAGAGGGGTATACAGATTCAGATTATGCGAGAGATGATAGAAAATCTACGTCAGGATATATATTCACTCTCGCAGGAGGAGTTATATCGTGAAAAAGCTCAAAATAAACCGTCACTACATCGTCTACGATGTATGCCGAGTTTTTAGCGTGTTATGAGGCCATAGGGCAGGTACATTGGCTGAAGAAGTTTATGCCCGGGTTGAAAGTGGTAAACGATATACATAAGCCACTCAAGTTATGCTGCGATAATAATCCAGCAGTATATTATGCTCACAACAATAAGTCAAGTGGTGCTACCAAACATATTGACATAAAGTATTATGTTGTGAAAGACAAAGTCCGGGATCATATAATTAGTCTTAAGCATATAAGTACAGAAAAGATGCTCGCAATCCGCTTACAAAAGGCTTACCATCCAATGTGTTCAGAGAACACTTAGTCGGTATGGTTTAAGGGAAAGCCTACGATTCCTAGACAATAAGGGCCTATGATGAGAATATGTTTCAAAACAGAGATGTGCATTATAGCTATTAATCTAATGACAACTGACCATGACGATGAGGCACGCTCTATGCACTCATCTGTGATGGAATGGGAAAAAATAAAGTAAGTTAAGTTTAAGTCATAAGGTGAGATCAAGAGAAGAAAATGTTAGGTTGATCTCTACCAACTTGGCCCAATGGTCAATTGGGCCCTTGATCCGCGCCCTGATCGGGGGCGCCCAACCCTATCTATGGTTGGTGGCCCCCCGTCGCACAGCGCCATAAAAAGAAGGTGGGGTCCGGGGCACAAGGATGAGGTTCACCTGAGCCGCCACAAACCCCACATGCATCCTATCCCTAAGTCGATCTAGAGAGAGGGCGCTGCCAGCGATGAGAAGCTACCACCGTCGCGTGTCTTCACCGCCGCCTCTGCGATCGTGCCTCCACTGCGACGTCCACACCGTCGCTGAAGTCCACTGCTACTCTACGCCTTCACCGCGTCACCGACACCGACGCCATGGCCAGCTCGTTTACCTCCAAGGCGACCGATGGTTTGCTAACACCGCATCCCTCTCTCTCTGTTTCCTAGCACTAGTTCATATTCTATGGTTTACCATATCTTAAATTCAAGTTCATACACGTTAGATCTGCTGCTAGTCGATCCTAATGATCTATCAATAGGGGCCCTCTGACATGACAGTAGCAGGGAGGAGATGGCCTCATCAGCCCTCAGGCGGACGAAAAAAAACATTTTTTGTTGCTAATGCCTATTTTTTGTCTTCTCTAGCAACATGACTCAAAAGATAATCCTTTCTACAAATGAGTCATCAGAAAAGAGGATCCTCATATTTGGGTTGTACCTCTACTGTAACTCAAAATTGGTCTCGTATATAAATATTCTGTTGAAGACTGATACAGTACCATTCACGATCTATTTTAGGTTTTGATCTCTATACGGGTCATCATAGGAGACCGTCTTAAGGCCAAACAGGGCTGTTTACACAAGTCTAAATAGGGCCACCAAACTAAACATTCAGCACATTCCTCCCAGGTTGCCACAAGACAGGCTAGCCCGGGGCAGCCATGGTTGCCGGGTTCTAACCGGACAACAAGGAGGCGGCGGAGGTTGGGTGAACTGCTGGATTCAACGGACAGAAATGCTTCGACTGCTACATCCGACGGATACAAATTCGCGTGGCGGCAACCAGAGAAACAAAGCTTTTTTCGATCGACCAAAAAAAAAACGAAGGGTCAAATCCTCCTTTCGGGACCTCGCCTCGCTCGGCTCCCCACGCGGCCACGCCCCAGCAGCGGGCAGTAAACAGCATCCGTCCTCCCTCCGGGCTGCCCCTCTTCCTCAAGTCCGGCGCCGCCCGCCCTCCTCTCTTTTCTCCTGCTGATGATGGAACTGGATCCTCGCCTCTACGAGAACGTCGTACGTTCATTCTACACGCGCTGCCTTCTTTGGCCGATCGTGCAATTATTTTGTTTTCTTTATTTAGCCAGACGCCCGGCTGGATTAGATTTGTTCTTGCGCGAATTGTTATCTCTTTGTTCATCTGTTGTGTATGAGGGTGATATGGTTACTCGATTATTTTCGGGAGCTACGGGTTACTTTCGATTTCATTTTTAGCGTTTGGGCTAGCGGATGCGCTCGTGTTAGGGTTTCTAAATTAGATTGGGCGGAAGCTGGCTTTCTAGTGAGAAAATTATAGGTTTTGTGGTTGCGTGGTTCTGTAATGAAGAGAAATTTGAAGCTTTGTCGTTGAGGTGGGTTGGGATCCACCAGCGGAGTCTTAAGGGGCAATTCTTCCTCTTGGCAGGGGGCGGCAAGCTCAGTTGGTGTTTAGTGGGTAACTATATTGGGAGCAATGCTGCAGGCAACTCAATTGCTGGACAATGTAGCGCAAATAGCTGAACCACTTCATACATCTTGTTCTTTTTTAAGGAAGGAGTGGAGTTAGGTCAATAGTTATTCCTTTGTGGCAAAGAAGACAAAAGAGCCTAATCACCAAGGATGATGAGCCATATCATATTACTGGTTTTTTCCCCACAATCAACAAATCTATATGGCATCCGAAGCTGGCCAAACACCTGTGCCAAATGTCTTATCTGAATTGTGTCGCTGGCCTAAATTGAGCATTGGTCCATGTCACCTGCTCATGGATGTCCTGGCATTTGTTTATCTTTTCCAGCACCATAAGATGATTCATCCACACCGCCTTTTCCCAAGCTGTCACCGTACTAGTTTGCATTACCTCAAAGTCACTACCACTTTCATCCTATGTCACTCAATGTGTGGCTCATATGGGCATATGGCTCTGCCCTTGGTGTTGGCCCAACCATGTATATTTATGGCATAGCCATGCTCTACGCCAACTGTACCAACAGCTTCATGTTCTACCCTTTATCGTCCTTTTCAATTAAGGGGATTGATTACTACTGCCTTTTGCTGGATAACTGGATTAATGCAAACTATACCATCATCTTTGTTAAGCTGTAGTATGCTATTGACATAGATTTCTCCCTACTGCAGTCTGTGAGCGACAACGATGTCCGAAACATAGTTCTATCTTATCTTATGCACAACTGTTTTAAAGAGACGGCAGAGACATTCCTATCTAGCACCGGGTTGAAGTTGCCTGTCGACTATACAGTGGATGTGGATAAGCGTAAAGGTATTTATTTGCAGGTCAATACTGAATCTTTTCTACATTATGTTTTGGGTTGCGCTTTACGTGTCATATTGCATGTTGAAGTACTTTTTGTATGTTTTGATAAATTTACTGCAATCTTTCTTTGGCCAAATTGCCTTTGGACCACTATTTTGAACTCAGTTCCACCTTGGATTACTAGTTTACCACAATTTGGTTCCCAGTTTTTGCTCCATCTAGCACTGAGCAACACAACTAAAAAGGAATGGAAGATCATACCTGGATCCTCTCTGCTGTTTTGCTCTGTAAATTGGTTCTCATCCAGTGGTCTTACTCCCTTCGGGTAGACATCAAGAACTCCTGCCTAAGTGCAACTCCTCTTTCTTTCTGCTCTACACCGCTAACCCCTGTGGTTTGTTGCACTTTGACTGGTGTGGGCAAAGGGCAAGCTCCCACATACCTGCAGTTTCTCAAATCTGACATCTCCCCTTGAGATCAAGGAAAACACTCTGGCCTCTTGCATCACCGATGCATACGGTCAACTCCTCAGGGTTGTGCATTTGCATGGTCACCAGGTGGAGAAAGGGGGGTTTAGGCTGCATGATTGGGTGGGGGCAGGGTGGGGAGCGCTTGGCTATGGGAAGGGGTTCTCGGGTGGAGAAGAGGCCTCAGGCATATGATGCAGTGGTGGGGCATGGGGACTCTGGCTGTAGGAGGAAGGGTCTGTGGAATAGTGCTGGGGCAGTGGAGCCAGTGCGTTCATGATGGCGGAGGTGCTGGATCTTCATGTGGCTGTGGAGGATAGCTCGTCCATCGGGTTCTTGTAGCCTAGCCTGTATTAGGTGGTGCTGCTCCTCTGCCTTGCATGGGAGCCCAGCCCAATCTGGCCCAACAACAGGGAGCAGCCAACGGGGAAGGGAAGAGAGAAGACATTGGGGAGGACCAGGTCTCATATGACCTGTTGGATTTGAATCGTATGGCATAGTGTTGTAACTACACAAAGACGGGGAACAAATCAAGTCATGAGAGCCTAGCCCAATCTCACCCAACAACAGGGAGACAGTAGGGAAGAGAAGTTAGCATTGGGGAGGACAAGGTCTGCTCTGAGCTGTTGGATTTGAATCGTATGGCATAGTACTGTAACATCAAAAAGACAAGCAACAAATCAGTGGTAAAATAGTAATCTGGATCTGGGGTCTACATGAGCAATCTGGCTGTACAAAAGGAAACAAAGGTCAGGAAGAGTACAGAAGGAAACAACTAATAAGAAAGGGTAAAAACAGAACTAGACTATAAAACTGAAAAAGAAACTAAAGGGTACTTATGAAACTAACCTGTACATGGAAAAAAAGAGGGAAGAGAAGAAAATTATGAAGATTCCCGCCAAAGCTAAAACTAGAAGTGAACCCATTGTTAAGTGTGAATGCTCATTTCATCTTTGAAGAGGTACACCAGCAGTTAAAGGAGGGTCTAATCCTATAAAAAAATCTGAGCATTTCTTTTAGATCTTTTATCTTTATATTCCTTTGTACCCTTCTGTTTATGGTTTTGAAGTTAATGGTAGATCTTTAGTAGTATTATGATCACTTCTATGTATTCTTGGAAGAAAAAAACTTTTATCACTTCACTACGGCTGTTATTGTCAACCAGTAATTCATCCAATTGAAATGATCTTGCCTAGCTAACACTGGAGCCATCTCCTTTCAATATAGGATTATAGTTTACCATTATTCATTGCCTTTATCACTGATACTAATGATTGGATATGGTCCGTTGCACACCTGTGCAAAATGCCAGTTCCGTTCAATTTTTTACCAGAATAATAGAATAATAAAAGTGGTTTATAAATTTTAATCTTTCGCTAATGTTCATTCAACAGGTAAGGTTGTCCTGTGTTCCTAGCAAAGACTTGAGTAATAGGTGATTCATGCATATAATATTCTTGCTTTTTTTTCAAATTTTCCTGGCCATTTTTTAGCTCAGCATATAATTAACTGTAACTCTTTGTTTCAAACTGCAAACTTGAAAATTGTTCTTTAGGATATTGTATGAAATAGCTGTGATTCAAATGGATATTTGATGACATCAATTTGATGTCTTCCATTTGATTCATCATAGGTCATGAACGCATAAAATCACAAAAGTTTGAAAATTGAGTATTTATATCCCAGTTATCTTATGATAGTATTGTTTGTATCTAATAGCCTTGATTTTCTTTCAGCAATTTTTAATTTTGTGCTAGAAGGGAATGCCCTTAAGGCCATAGAGCTGACAGAAGAAATGGCACCTAACTTGCTAGAGAATGATATTGATCTATATTTTGATCTTCTAAGTCTCCACTTCATTGAGCTAGTTCGTTCCAGAAAATGGTGAGTTTGTGAAAATTAATTAGGAGGGAAAACTATTTTTACATTCTTTTATTAACCTGGCTATTTTGACTGACAGCACAGAAGCTCTTGAGTTTGGCCAGAAAAATTTGACATCATTTGGGAAGGTTCGCAAGTATGTTGAGAAACTAGAGGTACTTTTTCCTTAAACCTACATGTCTCAGGACCCTTGTGCCAGTTAAAACAAATTTTATTTTAACATAGAAGACCAATGGATTGTGGAGTCCTAAGCCAAGCTAATAATATGAGGAGAGGTAGAGGAAGACCGAAATTGACATGGGGGAGGCAATAAAAAGAGATTTGAAAGCTTGGGATATACCTAGAGATCTATGTTTGAATACGAGTACTTGGAAAGCAGCTATTGAAGTGCCTAATCCGTGACTTGGGGCTCTTGGTGGGTTTCAACTCTAGCCTACCCCAGCTTGCTTGGGACTGAAAGGCTATGTTGTTGTTGTTGTATAGAAGACCAATGGATTGATTACTTGTTTCAGATGTTTAATTGCTACTATTATTACAGAAGGATACTAAAATCCAACTTTTCATTGTATAGGACTTTATGGCCCTCCTGGCTTATGAAGAGCCTGAGAAGTCACCTATGTTTCATCTACTAAGCCCAGAGTACAGGCAGAATGTTGCAGATAGCTTGAATCGGGCTGTCCTCGGTATGCTATAGATATCATGTTTAGCTCTTGCCATCATAAGCTTTATTTCCCATGATCTGATTGATGTTCCTCTATGATTAACGGTAGCACATGCTAATCTTCCGGCATATTCATCGTTGGAGAGAGTGGTACAGCAAGCGACTGTGGTTAGACAATACTTACAGCAAGAAGTTGGCAAGGTAAACATCGCTGAGTACTTGTCAGCAAATGGTTCAGTATCATATCTTATTAGTTTCGCTTGTAGTTTGTGCTCATTGTGTAATGTCCTCTGGTGATGCTATATGATGTTCAATGAGAGGGCTGCTTACGTATCTTGTTCTCAGAAGTTCTCCCTGCTCACCAGTCCACTTGAATTCAAATTCTAGTTTTGGTATTCTACATCTTGCTGCATACATGACATTTGGAACTCTTCGAGCAGGATTCTTACCCACCATTTTCTTTGAAGGCCTTTCTGAGCAAGTAAAAGCGCAAATGGTCAATTCTTCTGAAAGGGTACCGCTTCTGCAGACCATCAGGCACATGCACCCTTACGGAGTGCATAAACGATGAAGCAGTTTATACAATTCACAGAAACGTGTTCTTGGCACCACTGATACAGTTGCAATGGTGTAGTACTTTGAAAGGAGGATGCTGTACTGTATGTGGTCTGCTTCCTTGATTTACATTTTGTTTTACGTGTCTCTCTACCTTAGACATGTCAAAAGCTTGTACATATGACCTGTTGAGCTATTCTGTGCGTTCGTTCCGAGCTCAGTTTGATTCGGTTTGCTGTGTGGTATGTATTGTAATTGGTCTTTTACTACCACATGTCCGCGTATGCAGGCTGTGCAGAGGCTAGGGGTAGTCCGAACTCTGAATGGATGCGTTCGTAACGGTTATTCGGTCGATGGTATTTGCGATGAAAGTAGTAAAGCTGTGCTGTTTTTTTTTTCACGTAGTATAGTGTAATGTATCTTAAATGAACTACAAACGTGCATCAATCTATTTCGAAATACTACTCTGATACTACATCTTTTCTAAGATCTAAATTATAGTTCACTTTGGCTTTATTCTAACTTATTTTAACTTTTATCATATTTATACATAAATTTTCAAATATCTAGAACATCAAATTAGTTTTATTCAATTCTTCATCAAACATATGTTAACAAAGTATTTATTTAACTTGTGGATATTGATATATTATTTTTTTTTTTTTAAAAACATGATCAGAGTTAGAGAAGTTTGAATCAAAGTCAACTATAATTTGTAACTGGGAATCAAAGTCAACTATAGTTTGCAACTGGGAGAGTAGCACTCAATAGGCATTGGAGATTGGACACTCGCTAATAACATCATTAGTGTGGCCTTGTTGGCAGTGAAGCCTGGTTCAAGCTTCGATTATATGGCTTGCCTTATACGAATAACATTTTGCATCCGTCGGCCTGCCTTGATTTTTCAGTGACTTTTTCAAAACCAAATTTGAAATGTACTTGCTAAATTTGGAATTTTTAGTAATAAATGCGTAAAATTCCAAAACAGATTCCCCTCGAATGACCTCTTAGGCCTTGTTGAGTATTTTTAAAGTATTGAAGAAATACTATGGTTTTACAAAATACTTTGGTTTTTAAAAACTATTAGTTGTTTGAATGCAACAAATCTTGTGGTTTCTAGAACCATGGTTTGGTTAAAACCAAACTCCAATCATGACATATTTTTTGTAAACTACGGTTTTATGTCTCTTTGGCTTATAAAACCACAGTCGTGTGATAGAAAACCGCATCATCCAAACAGGCCCTTAATCTTTCATTAATGCCTTGCTCACCTTTTTCAGTGTACAATTAATTAGAACCCGAATTTCAAAAAGAGAACTACATGTTGGGGGAAACAGAATAAAGGGGGCGGGGGGCGGCGGGCTACTTTGGCTGTGCGTCGCGAACGCGAACGCCAGGACAGCACTGGTGCAAAGTATGTGGTAAAAGTGAGATCTGAGATCGAGTTCTTCGGTAGCTTTCAGGTTTCTTCAACCGTTAGTGCTGCTGCCGGCTTGTGAAATTGTGACGGCTCCGTGTCCGTGCCTGCTCTTTTTCTGGGACTCTGTTCTGCGTGTTCCTCTATAAATAGACGGATGACTTGTTCCTTGTCTTCCTGGTAAGCTCATCATCAGCCATGACTACGAACCACTTGGTACAGTGTTAATTCTCTTGGTCAGGTGTTTGGGCTTTGTTTCGACAGCGGAACATGGTACCACCTCCTTCCTGTTTCTTGGACGATTAGACTGTTTTTACCTGTATGCATGTTTTGTTAGCCGTTCATATGCTGAAAACAAGTGGAGGGAAGGTCCTTTGATGTAATCTGTTGGCCGGGAAGAGCTTTTGCATATCTGTACCCTTCAGAAACGATGTTCTAGAGTTGTTCAATACAAGTTGGCATGTCTGGATTGCTTAAATTTCGAATGAGTCAATTGGCTATTGCTTATGAGATCAACTTGACATCTTATATTTAAATAAAATATGAAAAATTTATCCAAAAGTTTTCTGGTATTGCTCAGCCAGACCATAGTTGTCTCGCATGTTTGGGAAAAGTCAGACCATAGATCTTATATATTTGTTCAACATTGACAAGGCAAGCGTGCTAAAAGCATTCCTGTCCTTTCGTCTAACTTTGGTTTGAAGAGTAGCATATATTGATTAGGGTGATCAGGGATGGCACAATATAGCTGCTGTGGTGATACATCATGAGCTGAACATTCTGATTTTAGATGCCCCTTATCTTTCGATGCAAATCTCAACTTGTATGTGTTCAACAGAACTTCAGAGGTTCATCCGGGAAGAATTCAATGACGGTCGGGCCATGGGGAGGTCTAGGAGGAGATCCAGAGGACGATGGTGTTAACTCCGCAGTGCGCCAGATCATCATCAGTCATGGTGCGGCCATTGATTCCATACAGTTCGAGTATGACCTGAGAGGCTGAGAGGAGGCTTAGTCTGGTCAGAGAAGCATGGGACTAGTGGTGGAGGCTCAAAAACTGATCAGGTTCGGTTTACTAGTTTCCTGTTACTATTAGACTGCTGTGATATTTGAAGCCTATAAATAGAAATAATAGCAAAGATAAGATGGCAGATTGGCAGTACTGTCAAGTATCTGCTTGCACAAGTTGGTACAGTGAACTATGTTGTTATTTGGATATTTGACAGTGATATAAAACATTTGAGGTGCAAACAAGCTGCCATTGGTATTGTGAAAGAGTAGATATGCATTCAGTTTTCTTATGGCGTGCTAATAAAATATACCTTCGTTTTTGTACAGTTAGACAAAACTAATCTTTGATTGGACAGTTCTTGCAATTCGGTCAATAGCTGAGTACACCATGTTAGTTTTACTGAACACTGATACAATGTTACAGTAATGCTACCATTAAAAATGTGTACGTTTCCAACAGGTGAAACTTAATTACCCTGAGGAAGTTCTCACATCTATCAGTGGCTGCTATGGTGCAGTGGGAGCTTCAGTTGTCATAAGATCACTTACCTTTGAGAGCAACTGCTCCAAGTACGGGCCTTTTGGCACCGAGCAAGGGACATCCTTCTCACTCCCGGTGTCCAGCGGCAAGATCGTCGGCTTTCACGGCCGATCCGGATCGTGCCTCCACTCTATAGGCTGCCATCTCAACAAAGAGAACACAACCAAGCTGTCAAAAAATGCGCCATCTGGCAATGAAAGAGATGACTGAGTATATGTTTATCACCCGTATGGAACCGTTACGCTCCCCCGCTCCGCCCCCGCCCCCACCCCCGCACGCCGCCCCCTAGCCCAGATCCACTGGCCACGGCTCCCATCTCTCGCCGTCGTCGTCTGTAAGCGCCCCACCCAGCGGCCCGTCCTCCTCATCCCACTCGCAAGAAGCTTGCGGTGGCCCACGCCCACAGATCGAGCCCGTCTCCCGCCGCCTGACGCCCCGTGCGTCGCCTCCCCGTCGCCCAGTCCCCAAATCGGTCTCCGTGGAGCCGAAAATCCTGCTTTCGCGCCCGCCCATTGCTGCAGACAACAGATCGGACAAGACAGAAGTCGCCAGATCCCCAAATCACGATGCCGTGGGGCGGAGCACCGGCTTTACAGCAATCATGCTACACCTGGCCCGCTCACGTTGCGTCGGACAAGACAGGAAGCACATCGGGCAAGCGCGTCAAGTTCGCCTCCCCCTCTGCAACCACCCTGTGAGATGTTACTACTCCAACGGCGCTGCGCCAACGAAATCTTGCCTCAGATCCGCTGCAGTGAAGCATGCCGCTGGCGCTCAATCCGCCGAGCATTCAACTCCCCCCCTCCAGGCTGCAACGGCCTGCTTTGATGGGGATTTCCCTTCCCGAGGGGGGGTGGCTCAGGGCTGTCATCGAGGCGAGGCGGCAGGTCGATGGGGCGCATTCACGCGCACACCTCGCGTCAGAAGATGAAGGCGGATGGTCAATGGTGCGCCCGAGGCGCTGGTGGCGTCTCCCTGAGTTCAAAGGCACGATGCATTCAACTCCCTCAACCACCCAGGTCAAATCGGCGCACTACCACCACAGCGATGAACTGCAGCGGCACATGAGAGGTAAATGTTTCAAATGTCTCTCCCCTGGCCACACTGCGGCGGACTGCGGGGACCCGGTGCGGTGCTTCTCTTGTGGCACTTAAAAGCAAGTGTGTGCAAAGGCGCACCTTCATCCTCCCGCAAAGAAGCTCCCTCCTGCCCAAGACTCTCCTCCACCATTCGGCGACAAAGAAACTCCCCACCTCTGAAAGGCGCGATGGCGGGCCCGGGGACCCCTCTCGTCTGGCCCCTCTAGACACCTGTGCCGTGGCCTTCTCCGTCGACAACATGGACCAAGAGCTCGATCGCCTCTCCATGCATGGCATGGTGCCCTGGCTGGGGGGGGGGGGGAACCGGCCGTTGGTGGAGCCAGAGGTCATCAAGAGGGCCATCTGCCACCATTTTCCGGTTCGCCCGGAGGATGTCACTGCCGTCAGGCACGCCCCTAAAGACTTCTTCATCGACTTCAAGCACCGTGTGGAGGACCTTCCCCTATCGCAACCTCGACATCCACACAAGGTCGTGGCAGCTGGTCACGTATGGCGACATCTGCGACCTCAAGTACCGCGTTCGCCTGTGCCTGGAGGGCATCCCACTTCATGCCTGGAACGAGAGCATCGCTAAGAGGGCAATCGCCAGAGCTTGCGACCTTGACTACGTCGAGAAGTCTTTGCTGGACCGTGCCGACACCATGAAAGCTCTAGTTTAGTTTTGGTTAATTGATGAAACCCTAAGTGCTAACCTAGTTTATCAAGGTGATTATGAGATAGGTAGCACTACTCCAAGTGATGAAGTAATAACGAAGATCATGACAATGGTGATGGCATGGTGATGATCAAACGCTTGAACTTGGAAAAGAAGAAAGAGAAAAACAAAAGGCTCAATGCAAAGGTATAAATGATATGAGCCATTTTATTTTTGTGATCGAGACACTTAGCGAGTGTGATCACATTTAGGATTGATAGCCGTACTATTAAGAGGGGTGAAACTCATATCGAAATACGGTTATCAAAGTGTCACTAGATGCTCTAACTCATTGCATATGCATTTAGAATCTAGTGGAATGCTAACACCCTTGAAAATGTTTGTGAAAATATGCTAACACATGTGCACAAGGTGATACACTTGGTGGTTGGCACATTTGAACAAGGGTGAAGAAGTTAGAGGTGAAATGGAGTTGGTCGCAATGATGCTGGCGTCGGTCTACTGACCGGACGCTGGGTCACTCAGCGACCGGACGCTGAAAGGTTGCGTCCGGTCGAGCTGTCAGACGACACAGTGGTTAGGGTTGAGCACCGGACGCTGGGCTGTGTCCGATCAAGCTTGACCGGACGCGTCCGGTCGGCAAAAGTCGGTTTTGGGAGCTTACTGGAAACGACCGGACACTGGGGTCTGAGCGTCCGGTCACTTGTGCCGGAGCGTCCGGTCAGTCTATAGCCGTTGAGATCTGGCGGCTCAGATTTAACTCAGAATGACACGTGGCTTTCATCGGGCGACCGGACGCTGGGTCCAGCGTCCGGTCAATATGACCGGAGCATCCGGTCACCCCGTGTTGTGCCCAGTGAAGGGGTACAACGGTTCTATTTCGTGGGGGCTTCTATTTAAGCCCCATGGCCGGCTCAAGCTCACTCTCTTGGCCATTTTCATTGATATAGCAACCTTGTGAGCTTAGCCAAAGCTCTCCCACTCATCTCCATCATTGATCCATCAACATTGTGAGATTGGGAGAGAATCCAAGTGCATTGCTTGAGTGATTGCATCTAGAGGCACTTGGCATTCGTGTTGCGCTGCGGATTTCGCTTGTTTCTCTTGGTGGTTGCCACCAGACGGTTGGAGCAGCGGTGGAGGATTGGCATGAGTTGGTGATTGTTCGTGGCCATCTCTGGTGATTGTAAGGGGAGTTGTACCTTCCCCGACGGAGTGCCGAAAGGTAATTCGTCATTGAGTTACCTCACTTGTGGGTCGGTTCTTGCGGTGTCCTATCGTGTGGACGAGGTTTGTGAAACACCTCTTAGCCTCCGAACCACCAAGTGTTGGTCGACACAACGGGGACGTAGCGTGTTGGCAAACACGTGAACCTCGGGAGAAAATCGATTGTCTCTTGTCTTTGGCATTCTCCCGGTGATTGGCTATATATTCATCTTGTGATTGGTTCATCCCCTACACGGCGGTATAATCACCCTACTCATTTATTTACATTCTTGCAAACTAGTTGATACAAGCTCTTTAGTGTAATTAGAATTGAGAGTTTGCTTTATTATTTACATTCATCTAGTTGAGCTCGTTAGAGTAGCAAGATTGAGAGCTCTTAGTGAGTAGTTACATAGCAAGTTTGTGTGCCTAAGTAATCATTGCAACTAGAATTGTTGGATAGGTGGCTTGCAACCCTTGTAGAGCTAGAGCAAGTTTGCATTACGCTATTTGTCATACTAATCAAATTTCTCTAGTTGATTTGTAGATTTTTAAATAGGCTATTCACCCCCTCTAGCTATATTAGTTTTCAAATTTCTATTCGGATTCGGATTCGGACACGGATAGCGTTCGGATACATATACGAATACGGATCGACTCGGTTACGGATACGAATAATGAGTATCGAATACGGTATGAATCGGATTCGGAGAAGGTCGGATACAAATATCTATTCGCATATATATATATATATATATATATATATATCTAAGTGGGAACTTATATATGGGCCAGCTAGCTTAGCTAGGGTTATAGAGCATTGGGCCGTTTGGGCAAGAAGTAATATTTTGGCCCAATTCCAAAAATCATAATTCAAGACAAAAAAGCAAAAAAAGCAAAAAATTATTGTTTGAGGCCCTAAACAAATTCAAATGAAAATGTTGTAATCAACAAAGTCTCATAACTTTTTAGGATCTAAAACTTTCATTTTGGTTGTTTCTCCATCTGAGATTCTGAGGTCGTTTGAAAAATCCAAATTTTCAATTTGAGAAATTCAAACGTAGTTTTCCATGACAAGATGATTTCAAATAAAAAAGTTTTCAACTATAAAGTTTCATAAATTTCTGAGATCTACAACTTTTATTTTAGTCATTTGTTCATCCGACATAGTGGTAGTAACATTATTCACGAATCTCATACATCTCTCTTATAGTTTATGAAACTACAAGAGAGAGATGTAAATTTTGTGAACAATGTTACTACCACAATCTCGGATGAACAAATGACGAAAATAAAAGTTGTAGATCTTGATGAGTTTTACAACTTTTATGTTCATGACTTTTTCAGCTGAAGTCATTTAATGTTTTAAAATGACGTTTGAAATTGCTATTTTTTGAAATTCAAAATTCAAATAGATAGAATACAGTCACATGAAAAGATGAACACAATAATAGCTATAAGAACACAATAAATTGATAGAACATGATTTTAGAAAATTTTAGAAAAAAAATTATCAAATTTGAAGTTAGTACGAGGGAGAAAAACTAGTTACAAGTTTTAGCCAAAGATTAAAAAGAGAAATAGGCGTTCTTTAACCATTTCGAAATTGAAATTCAAATGGCATTTTGAAGCACTAAATGATTTTAAATAAAAAAGTTGTAAACAACAAAGTTTCATAACTTTTTGAGATCTACAAATTTTATTTTGATCATTTCTCCATCCAAGGTCGTTTGAATAATATCCGGATAATATCCGTTTGAATAATATCCGGATATATCCGATCCTTAACCGGATTATCCGATATCCGCCGGATATCGATGATATTACATTCGTATTTGATATCCGCCTAAGATATCCGTTTTATTATCCGTATCCGAAAAAAATTACGGATATCCGAGTAACTATCCAGATAAGTGTTCATATTTGTTCGATCGAACGGACAGTCGAATAAATATCCGTACCGTTTTCATCCATACCTAGCACCGAACTTGTTTCGCCTTGTTTCAAGGAGAAACCGAACGGTGCAACAAGAGCTCCGGAACAACAATTGGATGCACACGCTAGGAAGGAAAATCACATCGGCTATCCACATAAAGGAGTTTGTGTCCCTTTGGATACGAATACATGATGTGCACCTACAACAGGGCGTCCAGGACACCATCATCTGACGATGGACCAAGAATGGGATTTACTCCACCCGCTCAGCCTACAGAATTCAATTCAAAGGCTCACTCGTCCCCTTCCGTACGGAATTGATTTGGAAAGCGCATGTGGAGAACAGATGCAAGATCTTCGCCTAGATTTTAGTGCAAGATAAAATTCTTACGGCGCAAAACCTACAAAAGAGAGGGTGGCCACACCAACAACAATGCGTGCTGTGCAACGGTCCCATAGAAACCGGCCTCCACCTATGCCTAGCCCTTTTGCTAAGACGGTTTGGGATCAAATCCACTCGTGGGAAAACTTCACTCAACTGCAACAGCAACCCCAGGTAGACTCCATCCATATCAGGTCGTGGTGGGAAGAGGCGGCAAGGAAAGTGCCAAGATCTGAGCGTAGACGACTTAACGGGGTAGTAATCTACACCTTTTGAAATATTTGAAAAGAGAGAAATAGAAGAATTTTTCAACAACAAGATAGAAACGGTGCCACATGTAGCCGCAAGGATAAAGAAAGACATAGAGCAAAGGAACAGACCACTCGCTTATGTTTAGTTGTTGTCCCCTCTTTGGGCCGTGCGTTTCCCTCCTTTACATGCTTGTGGGGGTTTGAAACCTTTATCTCAAATGTTCTTACTTGTACGTAAACTATTTTTCCCTATCTTAATTGAAAAAGGTGTCATTGCGTTAAAAAAAAACGCCATCTGCGCTGCGGAGCATCACAAGATCTTATGACAGGAACGGTCACAGGTATGCAGATAGCAGTGCTGGGTATGACATGGTTCTTGCAGTGAAGGACAGAGGTGACAACTACAATGTCCTGACCAGCAGTCTTCCAAAGGAGCAGTATCCTAATCCATCTAAGATGAGCAAGGTATCACCAACAGTGCCAAAAAATTGGAATGTCTCCAATTCCTAGGATATTCATTTTCTAGTTATAAAAATTGTAGCTACAGAAGCCATTTTCAGATTGTGAATTTTACACTGCAGATGGTATCAATTCCAAGTTTCTACTCGGATAATGGGACCATGACTATAAGCACTCCAGTGAGATTTGGTCCCTGGGGTGGAAATAGTGGTACCATATTTGATGATGGAATATACACCGGTGTCCGACAAATCAATTTAACACGGGGACTAGGGATATTTTCCATGAAGGTTCTCCATGATCGCAACGGACAGGCCATATGGGGTGACAAGCGTGGAGTCAGTGGGGGCGCTAGACCTGAAAAGGTGATGCAGTTTCAGCATCAGTGTTATTTTGGTTGTGCTAGTATATGATAACATGGTAATTTTGTTTGGCAGGTTGTATTCGATTTCCCATCAGAGATCTTGATTCATATAACCGGTTACTTTGGCTCGACGATGATCATGGGCCCGACGGTGATCAAATCACTCACATTCCACACAACAAAGAAGAGCCATGGACCATTTGGGGACGAACATGGCACCTTCTTCTCCAGCTGTTTGACCGATGGAAGGATAGTAGGATTTCATGGCAGGGCAGGATGGTACATCGACAGCATTGGAGTTCATGTTCTGGAAGGAAAGGTGTTGTCACAGAGAGTAGACACAGAGCTGACCGACGCAGGCCCGTCTCGACAGTCTGACATGCTTGCACTAGCACGAAGGGAAATCGGAGATGAGGTAACCAATCCCATTAACCGAGATGTTGATGCAAGCAGTGTGTTAGCACTAATATTTTGATAAAAAAAATGTGTTTGGATCTTATTAATTCTGCTGCAGGTCACATACGGTGTGGTGAAAGAACCCATACCAATAGGTCCAGGACCATGGGGTGGGGACGGAGGCAAGCCGTGGGATGATGGCGTCTACACTGGCGTCAAACAAATCTACATCATGAGAACCGATTTCATCGGGTCTGTTCAGATCGAGTATGACAGGAGTGGGCAGTCCATCTGGTCTACCAAGCATGGAAATGGTGGCCAGATAACACACAGGGTAAGTTCAGTTGTGAGTACTCACACAAGCTCCTCCAAACCATGAAGTGCAGTGCAATACAGTTTTTTCAGTATTGAAAAATCACGTTTATGATGAAAATGAGATTAATCACGTTTATGATGTACAAGTTTCTCATTAAACGCACATTGTTGCATGCAGATCAAGCTTGACTATCCACACGAGGTCCTGACCTGCATCTACGGATACTACAACACCTGCGTGGAAGAAGGGCCCAGGGTCTTGAGATCGCTCACCTTCGTCAGCAGCCGAGGGAAGTACGGCCCGTTCGGCGACGAGATCGGGACCTACTTCACCTCTGCTACGACGGAGGGGAAGGTGGTCGGCTTCCACGGCCGGAGCAGCCTCTACTTGGACGCCATTGGGGTGCACATGCAGCACTGGTTGGGAGACGTGAAAACTGCTAGCGCTTCCAACTCCAAGTACTACATCTCCAGGTATCTGTTCTGATCCTGGCTGGGTGGCTGGTGGCTACCCTGTGGTCTGATGCCAACTGAAGGCTGTGGAGTTAGTACAGTTTGCAGTGTTTTCTCTGCATGCGGCAAGAAGTTCAGTGATGAGCAGTTCTGAATGATGAGTAATCATATCATGGTGTATTTATTTGTTCTTACTATTACTGGTAGTAGTTTGCTCTTCAGGAGCCATTGTGTGTTGTGTTGGTGATTTGGTGAGTGATTTATTTGTCTGGTTTGGAGGATTGAGCGTTGTCGGTATCTGGTCACCTTAAACTTGTCAAAGTCTCTGAATTGATACGTTGAACACGATCTGTTAAACAGATTTTGTGCCATCTCATCTCGGTTGTGTTCCGAGGTGCATCTGTCACTAGATATCGAGTGCGCCGTCATTCAGTGCTCCGTATTCAGATTTCAGACAGACCAGCACACACCATGAAATGTTTGCTATCAGAACTAGTGCTTGGTTGCTTCTTTCTGCAGAGGGATGGCTAGGTTTCATTAGTTTAGCCCTGCGACTTGAAGCCAACTTGGTAGGGGAACATTCAAAGGACTAGTGAATCGGGTAGTTGTCGCGGGCTGTGACTCTAGCCGGAGAGATTCAGAGAACCAATTTGTGAATTGTGCGAGGAACAAACAGGCAGTACATTACCATCCATCCAAGTGTCAAGTGTCTCGCTCTAGCCCAAGCGATGTACCAAGTGGCTCTCTCTCAAAGTCTGAACTGGTGCAGGCAACTTGCAAGACTGAAAGCCTGCACTCAAAAGGCTGCAAGCAAATTGCACGGCTGAAAGAAAGCCTGTACAGCAGAGCCCCTCAATCCATATGGACCATACATGTTCCATGTTTCTCCAACAAGATATATACAAAACCCATGTTCCATTGAATGAATCAGACACACGAGTGGCGGACGATTGACGTGCCGCCGTGCCGGTGCTGCCCCCCAGCCCCAACTGTGTTTTAACTAGCGAAATGCCGGTGATTTCGTCGGTGTGTTTCCAGCTAATGGAAACAGAGACATGCGAACCGCCCTGGAGATAAGATTCTGGGAATGCCCTGTGGGTGCTTTGGTTGGGGCCGGCCAGAGAGACAGGATTAGCACGCAGGATTGACGGCAAAAAAAACAATTGCAGGGCTGTGTCCGTCCGTCCCTGTCGGAACGGACACACTGCGTTTAGCCTATGCACACTTGGCCCTCTGGTGATCGTAGGAGGAACCATTAGGATCGAAGTGGGGAATCAATTCTATCGCATTGCTCTCGTGTCTGATTCTGTCGCAGGCCAGGCCACAGTGACTGAGGACTGAGGTCGTACGCCAGCCAAACTTGCAGCAGCACTATTCTTATTGTGTCCACCCACTTGCACAAAACCACGGCGGCGATCTGCCGGGGCAGCAGCTGAATTGCATGCCCACTAGGCACAACGAGTGCATATCTCGTCGCGCCGGCCTAGCTCTCCAAAGAATCGAATCAAGCAAACCCCAAATCCCAGTAAGCTAGCTAGCCCACCCTCATGCTGGTCGGCGGATGCGAGGAGGGCCTCACGATCTGCTGAAGTGGCACGACGCGCCAAGTTGGCACACTCCACTTGCATGCATCGATCGTCGCAGCAGTGCAGCGTGCGGGCCTCCAACAGCGATAGCCAGGAGACCGGGGACAAGTCAAGAACGTGTGCTCCCTGGGCAGGACTGGGTAGTGGCGCACACTGCTAACAGCGAGCCGAGGTGGATCAGTGTTAGGTATCGATCGGGGCGATCGCTTTTGCGTGGCAGAGCACGAGCACCACCCGGCAACGCAACTCCGTGGCTTGCTTTTGTTGCTCCCGAACAGGAGTAGAACGGAGTCGCCGGCGCCGGCAGCAAATTAAAGCAACAGACATGGCTCATGGCTGACGCTGTGTTCCTGCCCGCCGCTCGCAGTCGCAGTCGCGGTCGCAGCGCAGCGCACCGCACCGCACATGCGCACGCACCCACGAACTGGCTCTCGGAGCCTATCGTCTTTCGGAGCTTGGGCCGCATTTCTTTGCGCGCTGCCCTGCCTCCTGCCAATCGGGTGCGAAAGCGTGACGGCACGAGATCGGCCTGCCGATCTCGCCTTCTGCTCGCGCAGAGAGAAAGCGAAGGGGGGCCCGGGAGCGAGCGGCGCGGTGGCGCGGGAGGCGCGTGCTTAAAATATGTGCGCGTTTCCTTACGCTTCTCGCCGGCTGCCAGCCAGCCAACCTGCCGCGACCGCGAGGCGATCCGGAGCCACGTACTGCCGGCGCACGCTGACACAGTGACATTTCTCTCCCTGCTGCAGTCCCACCTTTTGGAACGAGATCGCGATCGCGCCGCTGCCGTATCTTCCTTGGTTGTTCCAAAAGACGGGAGAGAAAGGCAGGATCGGCAGACTCCTTGGTTATTCCAAAAGACGGGAGACAAAGGCAGGACCGGCAGAATTAATGGCCCGTGACCGCTAACCATGCATATACTTTTGCACCTCGCATATACTTAGTAGGTAAATTTTGTTGCAAGATATCTTTAATGTTTTTATTTATTGATGGATAGTATTTAATAATTTTTTGATAAAAAACCACTCAATTTCACATCTGATACATCTCAAGAAAAATAAAGACTACTACAAACGATGGAAAAAAACACAAAACGATCTCTAAAAAGTAAGAGCACATCAAAGACCAAATCGGTTGTCTTGTCTTCGTTGATGAGCCATTCTGAAAAGTGCAGGAGAGTAAGGAGTTAAAAGTGACTATTATATCCCTGGCTATTCTATCCCAGCCTTTGATAGCTATTCATCCATAACTTTTGTAAAAAAAAAAAACTTTTGCATATAAAGTAGGATGACGACAAAATTCATACAAAATTATAGAGCTCAATAAGATATACTCCTTCCGTTTTAAATTATAAGATGTTTTGGCTTTTTTCTAAATACATTACTTTTATCAAATATCTAGATATAATGTATATTTAAGTGCATAGCAAAAGCTATGTATCTCCAAAAGCCAAAAACAATTATAATTTGGAATAAAGGGTTATAACTTTTAGTTGACAAGTTTTTCATTTGAAATTATAGAGTACCAAAATTACTTTTAAGTTCTCAGCTTTCAAAATTTAAAATTTATATTTTTCAAACTACATTGGATGTAGACACGGTCTATATAAAAAGTGTAGTTATCAATGCAATCTATAAATTTATACCTGATAAATTTCTTACTTGTTGAGATTTACTTGAAGAATATTGCGCGACTATGACACAAACCTGTATCATATCAAGAATGGTGTAGACAAATGTTGTCATAGAAAATCGTAGATGACGATGTTGAAATAACCGTAACAAGAGATAAGGATTGGCGAGGGCGGGCATAAATTCTATAAGTGTAACTCCGAAATAGCACAAGTGATTGTCACTCTCTCACAACTCTACCTAGCTCCAAAAGAGCACGAGCGATTGCTACTCTCTCTCACAAGCCTACTTGGCTTCGAAAGAGTACAAGTAATTGTTGCTCCCTCGAACCCTGCTTGGTTCCGAAAGATTACAAATGATTATCACTCTCTTCACAAACCCTATTTGACTCCAAAAGGGCACAACAGATTATCGCTTTCTTGTAATTGTACTTAACCTTTTAAGACTCTCCGATTCATGTCCTATACAATAATCTTGTGCAATATAATAGTTTTGCCTAGTCTAATTCTCTTGAGTCCTCCTAACTGCTCCTTACAAAAGTTTTGGATGAGACTCTTGTATTAATTTGGTTGATGCCTATGACTTTTGTCTCTTTCTATAATCTCCTCTAAGGCTCCTACATGCAAGTATAGTCCAGTTTTTAATAAGATTCTACACTCTAGTTCTTATAGAATTAGAAGTATTCTTGAATGCTAGTAAGTAGAATTTGAGTCATACTACTGTAATCATCGATCAACAATGGAGGTGCGGCGTGTGCTCTCCAATTGGAACACCAGTTTGGAGCCTTGGACAGATACAATACAACTTTGTAGAGCAACCTTTTGAGGTGGCACGGACAAGATGGATAGATATACGTCCAGCAGCCGTGATCTCTATCGAAAATTGTGCTGGCTCAGAGAACGGGCAAAGCTGAAGCTAGGATAAGACTTCTGCCTCTGTGCGACCGACGCTGGGAATCTGGGATCATTTCTCTCGATCCGCACACTCTGCATTCAACTTGTGTGGAGCGTCGAGCGGCGGGTGATCGCGCGCATATTCTCATCTGCAATCATCTCATGCCCGCAAGTCGTCACATGCAAGCATCCATCGGCCGGGCACGTCTTTCCGGCGATCCGATCCTCCCGATCGCTCCCGATTGCCTCACTGCCTTTGGAGAGAAAGGACTTGGACTGGTTCCACTGGATAGACACGCACCACGCTACTACCTAGAGACACGTCGATGTGAGTCGATCGGATCGTTAAATGGGTGGCCCTGGATACAACCTCTGATCCGTCTTTCTAACTTTCGAGACGATCGCCATCTCGCTCTCAGCAAGTAATACGTGCCGGCAGAGCGCCGAACTCCTCATGCGCGCATGCAACCGCTAGCTTTGGCTTTGCAACCCGGGTAGCACAGCACAACATGTGACGAGATCCCTGCCGATACGGGTCCAAATCTTGGTCGAAAGCTCTTTTGGGGATTTAGTTCGTTTCGATCGACGTGCAGACATGGTGCAGGGTCAGCACGAGTACTAGCTATACGCAGCAACAGGGAGCAGCATCACGCTGCGCCATGCGTACCGGTTGATGAAAGCAGCAGCACGCGTGTCGGAGCTAAAGCTCCTGTTGCATGGCACCATGGCCGCGCGCTTGCCTTATCGGCATCGCCGGCGCACCGCGGTGGAGCCCGGCGGCCGGCCTGTTGGGCACGCTGGCACGGATAATCGGATCCCGCTGCCTGCGCTGCTCCCCGATCAACCGGCCGCGCGCGATGCGGCGGGACTCCACATGCTGCGCTGCTTGAGCCGGGCCCGGTGGCGGCAGCAGCACCAACAGTTTAA